CCCCTGCTAAACCTTTCACATTACTCATAATCTACTTGTTTCTAATCTTCTGTGGGCTCAGAAATCAGATAATGTTGCTTGTTGGGAACATTAAAGCAAATGACCACAGGTTCTGACTAAGAATCTGAAAGGCTCTCTTACACTTTGAAGTCAGTGGTGGCAAATCTATGGAAAGCTATTTTTTTTTTTTTTTTTTTAAAGACAAAACATGGGCTGGAGAGATAGCTAGGCTGTCTAAGCACCTGCCTGGCAAGTACAAGGATCTGAGTTTGATCCCCATGCTGCCATCTTGGCCACTGAAATGACATGTGCTGGTGCATGCCTGTAATCTCAGTGCTGGAGAGGCTGACACAGGAGGATCACCATAAATCCAAGCCCAAACTGCACAGCAAGACTCTACCAAATAAATAAATAAATGATTTTTTTTTTCTAAAAAAGACAAAAGATGTCAACGTATGAGTTTTATCCCAACTGATACATCAGTATTGAGGTTTAATTGCAGTGTTGATACTTTGCAATAAGTAAATGAATTTTAGGTTGCAGTCTGGACACTCATCTTTTAAAGGTTCACCATCACTGCTTTAGGACATAGACTTGGACAATTTGGCAGCCTCAGGCCTTGTTGCTTAGTCTTCTCAAATGTATTTTATAATAGGTCGAAGACACTAATGAGGAGCTACAGGCAAATCATTTTGATTTGAAAGAATCCAAACAACTAAAACCCACAACCAGAAAAGAGCAAGAAAATTCTTACAACTCAAGTACCATTGTAGGTACTTTAACCAAACTCATTTAATCCTTATAATAACATTAAGAGGGAAGGATTACCACCTCCATTTCCAGTCAGAAAACCAAGACTCAGGAAGTTACCCAATATCATAAGTGAAAAACCACGTATCAGCACAGGAGTCGACTCCAAAATCCAAGGCCATCATGTGAGCTGCCCAATCTTTATTCTTGGTTTAATGAAGTTTTATACATTATTCTTGATCTTTGCCTGGAACATGGTTGATTCCAGCCAGCTCTTTCCTTAAGCACTTTGTGTAACTAAAGGGAAATGGTTAATCAAATTGAGGCCAAATGAAGATTAGCTTTCAAGTGTACATCTGTTCGACAACAAACATGTTTCTGCAAGACTGACCACATCTTCAGCTGTATAGACTATGCAAAAATGGTTTGAGAGCCCCCCCACGGTGATTGTGCCCCTGGGAATTCTGAGTTAACACTTCACCATCTTTCCTAGTGCTGCCCTGAATATTTGATAGGAAAAACAAGTATATTTTAAAAACTGGGGCTGGCCAAATAGCTCAGTGGATTAAAGCATCTGCAAGCAGGTGCAGGGGCCAGAGGTTCAATCCCTGGGCCTTCTGTGTTGGGCCCTCCCCTGGGGGGCACTGAGACAGAAATTTGGACTGGGTGGGGTGGTGCATGCCTGTAATCCCAGCTCTTGGGAGGCTGTAAACGGGCAGATCACTATAAATCTGATCTAGTAGTGAGACCCTGAACACCCTGTAGACCCTTCCCTAAAATACAAAAAATAAAAATAAGAACTGTCTCCATGATAAATTTAATATATGCTCCATCAATCTGTACACTAACAATAAATTATCTTCTCTAAACACTAAGGCCTGAGGCAGAGGACATGAAATTTCCACTTTAATAATTCCTTCAAGGAATTAGAGTGCTTGTTTACCATTAAAATCCTTATTGCCTAATCCAAGGCCTCACACAAAGAGAAAATTTTTTGTAGAATAAATGGTACCTGTCCAATAAATCATTTGTTGCATACATAACATCTCCTGAACAGCTTTGAATTTCTTACATTTCACATCTTCCAATACCTTTTTCTGGTACCTCTGCAATACTTGGTTGACAACACCTTTCCTCCTATGGAAAATGGCTCTTTTTCTCCCCTCAAATGGCAAAAACAAAACAACAAAAAATCCTAAAAAGACACACCCATCTACATCCTCTAAAAATGTTTTTTGTCCCAAGAATATGAATAAACAGCCATCTGCCTGACTACACTAAATACAGCTTTTATACCCATTACAAACACCTGTACAAAAAAGCTTAGAAAACAAGGCCTCTGGAGCCCTAAAGCACAAACTCAAAAAATAAGGCAAATTTTTTTACCTAAAAGTCAAAACTGATAATACAATATTACCAGTATAAAAATTCAAACACTTTGGCCAGCAGGTTAAACAGCTAAATTACACAGGCTTTATTCCACTTACATAGTTCCACCAATGTAAAGTAATAGCATGAAACATTATTCTAATAGTCACAATATGAAAATGAAAGGGGATTTCTTGCTCCTGTTAAGAAAGTCCTTGTTCCTACTAGGGAGAATGACTGCAATAAACAAAACCATCTCCAATATTCCTACATAACAGTTAAAATGCATAACCATACCTGACAAGCCACAACAACAGGAATTTACACTGGGGAATTTCTTACCTGATTATTTCATGAACCTTAAAGAGTGTATAGATTTAGGTTGAGGTAGGTTAGGACATTGAAAGTCCAAACTGTTGAACACCTACAATGTGAAATCACTTTGGCTGTAGCTGCACAGTATAATACCCAAGCTCTACGAGCAATATACTCGTATTTCCAATCACATTAATTAAACCAGACCAACCAGCTTCCTTAAGTTCAAGACGTTAACATCAAAACACATTAGGTGGTCACTCACCTTAGATGTGCCCACAGACAAGAACTATTTATATTTACTGTATCACAGCTAAATTTATACCAAAAAGTAACTGAAATTACTTTATGAAATTAAAAGAAAACATCTGCTACCTGACCTTCTGGTAGGTATCATGTATGGCTAGTTTTGTTTGTTTTTTTGGTGTTTTTTTTTTTTTTTTTGGCGGAACCGGGGATTGAACTCAGGCCCTTGCGCTTGCCAGGGAAGCGCTTATTCTACTGAGCCATCTCCCCGGCCCCTGTATGGCTAGTTTTTAAGACAAATAAAAGAACCTCAAACAATGACACACTTCTGAAATGCATTTTAAATTTCTCCCAACTCTGAATTACATTTGCTTTACTAACTCATGAATAAAAACTGTTCAAATTTCATTCAACTCTGTGACTTAACACCTCTGCAGGACAGAAACTTAAAAAGAGATCAAAAGTAAGATAGCAGATATATTTTCAGCATAACAGTAAGTGTATATGTTAGCCTCAAACAAAGTACCCTTCCTACCAGCTGTATAGCTTAATTTTATATAAAATCATAAGAGAAAATGAAAGAATTCTGGAAATTAATTCATATTACTGAGAATCATTTTTGAAAAGATACTCCAAGTTTGTCTGATGATTTTACCAACAAATGTTTTATACATGTCATTTTAAAAGTTCAAAAAAATCACAACGCTAGGTCATCCCAAACTGTATCAAGAGAAGACTGCTCAACAGTACTGCTTCCAAATTCGTTTTACTTGGAGTTTTTAAAACATAAAAGTCTGACAGATGGGTTTTAGCTTTTAGACCAAGAGGAATAGTGAAATCAACCTATGTGTTGTTTTCCTTTTGTTTAGGTAACAAGGAAAACGCATAAACACTTAGGGGCAAGTGAAAGACAAACAGTACGTGAGGTCAAGGACAGTATTCCCCGCCAGAAAACAGTAATTCAACCAGAAATTGTGAAAGCAAATCTAAAAACGTGAAATCAATTAGCGTCCTTTCTGAATTCGTGACAGATACAAGCCAAGAGGCTGCACACACTGAGCAACTTTCTAAAAGTAGATAAAAGAAGATAATCTGGGCAGAGAATTATCAGCAGCAAACATATTGCTAAGTACATACAGCAATTGAGAGTTCGCGACTATTACGGTTAACAAAGGTTACAGAACAACAAAAAAAAGTAGAAGCAAAGTCTCACACGCTCCTAACTCGCCTTCCAAACAACTCCTGCAACAGCTTCGGTCCTTCGGATTGAAAATCAGAACCACAAACTAACCGATGTGCAAACTACGCCAGGAAAGGGACGCAAGCAGCTAGCCACCAAGGCTGGGCGGGGACTCGGAGCGCGCTGCCCCTTCCCCCGGCGCCGACCCCAGCCCCCGCGCCCACGGGCCCGGCCTCGCCACACCCCAGCCCCCACCCGCCGTGGCCATGTGACACGCCGGCCTCGGCCGCACACAAACACACCCCTGCCTGAGGCCCGCGGGTGCCTAGGCTTTACCTGCACCCAGGCGCCAGGTCCCGCCCCGTCAGATCAGAGGGGCCTGGGACCTTTTGTTCCTTCCTCTTCCGATGGGATTGGAGGAGGCTGGGAGGGGAAGAGGGGAATGGTAGATAGGAGGCGGAACTGAAAACACTCCCGGCCGCCGTGCCCCCGCCCCGCCCCCAAGGGCCCGAGCCCCGCCGGCAGTCCCGGCGCGCGAGGAGCTGCGAAAGCTGAGCGCGAAGAGAAGCAGGAGGGGGTCCGGCCGCCGCCCGCGGAGGAGGGGGTGGGGACGCCGCCCCTCCTCCCCTCAGGCGCGCGCCCGCCGCCCCTCCCCGCC